CTGCTCCTCCTGATGGGACCAGAAAGTTAGCGCCTTTGCTCGCCGCTCCCCCGCCGTTCCTTCGATCGGGCCTTGGCTCCGGCATCCCTGCAATCGTCGATTGAATCCTTCGGTTGTGGATTTCCCTTTTGGTGTGGGTGGTGTTGTTCTTCAGGGGAGAAAGCGGAGACCTTTTTCTGTTTTGGGACATCACTTTTCATCGATTGGGACGGTTCTTTGCCCAATTTAGGCTTTGCCTTTTGCTTTTGCGTTTTGATTTGATTCATCTCGGATGGTGAGTTCGGAGGGATTGAGGGAGTCGCCGCCCCCCGTGCCGACGATGGCAATGGCGGCGAGGCAATTCGGGGTTACGAAGCCGATTTCGGTGTTGGGGCCCAACGAAGCCGATGTTCAGAGAAGCATGGAGTTGGAGAAAGATGAAAAAACTGGAAAGGTCGTAATTGAGTGACGAACACGAAACCCGACCCGACCTAACCCGACCCGACCCAGACCTTGGGGTATATGCTGAACAGGGCCTTGGGCCGGGTCTGGGCGGGCCAAGCGCAACCCTATTGATTTTGGGTCAGGTAGGGTATCATGAAAGCCCGACCCGACCCGACCCATTGACACCCCTAATTATATCTAGCTTTTTCACATATATATATATATATATATATATATATGTGTGTGTGTGTGTGTGTGTGTCTGTGTGTGTGTGTGTGAGTATACCTAAACATGGATATATTTAATTAGAGAGATAAATATTCTATTTATAAGCGTTGGCCGTCGTGGTCCCACAAAATCTTACGTTTTTAGAATATCCATGTGTGATTATTATGGGTGTTAAACGGGTCATAAACGGGTCTATAATTTTTTTAAACACAATCCACTTCTATGACTCTCTCTTCATTTTCTCTCGCCTTCACTCACCCCCATACTCTCACCTCATTTTGGGTATGTAATTTCCTAAATTTGGCTAAATATGAAAGTATTTTAGGTCAAGTATGGGTCACTAGATTTATATTGTATGAAAATTAAACGGGTTAAATGGATTTATTTGGATCGGATTATTTTCCACTCGATTCAACTCACCCGTTTGACAAATTTAGCTGATGTATCGGAGCCTTAATTGTTACGCCTCAATTTAGTCCTAATTTCTTCGTCTTATCACTCCATTTATTCTATTGTCTGCTCCCTGATAGCGCAACTGTTGGCGCGTCGAAATCCACTGAGTTTTTACCGCACCCTCTTATTCCATGACCCCGTTTTCCTGAAATTGCACTTGTTTTGACTTCACCGTGATTAAGTTAAAGTAGAATTATATCTTAGCCCCACCAATCTAATCCGCCTTTCGAAATATTGGCCCGTCTGGCTAGCCCACTTGCAAATTCAAGTCCAATCCAACTCAAATGCATTCATTGTAACGCTTTATGAGGGGCCTATCTGGAATGTGTTCATTTCGATGGAAACGAATAGAAAGAATGATTGCTTGAATCACTTACAAAAATGAACAAGCGAAAATATTTTCATTGTTAACAAAATTGTTCATATCATTTTTTGAAAAATATTTTCCAAATCATTTACTCTCCACAAAATAAATAGAGTCGTGGTCTTTGTTATTCAGACGAGATACCATATACAAATTCCAAAGTACATCAACATTATATACGAAAAATGGATAAAATCCAACTCAAAAGAAGAAAGTAGAGAAAAATTCAAGGCATGACACTTCCGGGAAACTTTCTTCGTGTTAGTTATTTTCCTGCTGTGGTGCAAACGATTTCAATGGAAATACACTCAATGCCTTTCGTAAGTACACAATGATGCACTTAAAAGCATTTGTCAACTACGAAGTATGAACTTGAACCCAAAAATTAATATATAGAAAAGGCTCATGCTACTTCCACGGCTATATAGGCTCTGAGCATGACTTATTCGAGAAAGAGGCAAAACTACCCTTTCGATATCGATTATTATCGTGACGTGTCAATAGCAAGTAATACCATTTTAGTTCGCCAAGAAATAAATAGATGTTAGGAAACCAGTTTTCTTAATCAAATCCTTCCCAGGGATAGATTGATGGAGACTTGAGACTCGATCTCGTTTCATTAATTCCATTAGTTACAAACTATTTGCAAACTCATTTGTAGATTTTTTACCCAAAATTAGCATTTTTTTTCCCTTTCATTCAATGGAAAAAGTACAAGGAAAACATTCGTGTATGACGCTCAATTCAATTCAGTGTCGCAACTTTAAATCCCTCATTTAAGTTTGATAACTCGGGAAATTCGATCACTCGAGGTACATCGAGCACCGGGCTTGCCGAAAAAGCCGGTTTGGCATTATCGTAGCATTAATTAATCCTACGCGGCTCGCCAGAGAAATCCTCCTTTTATAGATAAACCAAACAAAAAGTTGGCCCATGTCATGTCATGGATCGGCCGTTGGTACGATGTCCAGATCTTTAATGCGTACATTTCGTTATCATAAGATGCCAAATTTCATAAATTTTAAAGATAAGGGAGAATTGGTACCCTATAATTTCAAATGCTACCTACCGTGAATTATACTATCATTACAGTGCTGCTAATAAATTTTCGCACGAATTTCGTAAGCTTCTCCAGATTGTTTCCACCGACTACTTCCCTAATCATACTTTCCACATCATGAATTATTCAATTGCTATAGTTTCCAATTCATCATTTAGAACTTCTTTTTTCTACTTTCACGTGCTTTCAACTGCTCCTTTCCAAACCGCGTTCAAATTGGCAATCTCGGTTTCCAAGTCCAGTCGCGCCTTTTTTCAAACCTTCCTACCTTTCTTTCCCTTGATAATCTGTTTCCAAACAAAGGCAACTACGGTCATAAAAAGGAAAGATAACACAAATAGTTTATGAATTTTGGCCCAAAATACAATGTGGCCCCCAAACTTTTAATTTGTTCAATGTGATTCATGAATTTTAACTCAATGTGTGTGATCCTTAAAACTTTTAATTTGTTCAATATATTCCATGCACTATATGAAAATATTGAATGTAATCCTTTCATTAATTCAATATTAGAGACTACATTGAATATTTTCATATAGTTCAGGGATTATACCAAATATTAGGTTAAAATTCAGGAATTATATTGAATATATTAAAAATTCAGGGATTATATTACATATTAAGTCAAAGTTAAAAGATTACTTGTATTATTATTCCTAGTTAAAATTCATGGGTGTTTTTTTTCTTTTTGTTCAAATCCTGGGCGACGAAGAAAAAACGCACGCACTTCAATACATGTCTCATATTCTAATATAATTTCGAAAGTGTTACAGTATATTTTTCCTCGGGATAAATGTCCACCTGGTTAATTAATAGCCGCTTTAAAAAAGGAAAAGCGAAGGGGATCAATTTGCGGTTTCCTAGGACTCCACCGACGGAACTACCACTGGTAGTGCCCAAGGCTGACACTATTGACTTTTTGCCTTTTTGGGGTCGGGAGGGGAAACAACAGCGTCCCGTCCTAAAAACGGCGTCGCCCGGTCCGCCTTGTCCCTCGTCGCGTGTTCTCGAGAAAAATGGAAATTCGGAGAAAAAAGAAAATCGGCATTCAGAGCACCGATCTGACGAGAATTCCTAGCGCGGCCACGTCAGCGGCTCTCCCGTCGTGATCCCGAATCATATCCCGACTCGTGGCGGCACCCCATTGGACTGTCAAAAGACCCGGTGGGCGTAAGGTGCATTTAATATACCACGTAGGATTTATAATAATCCATACAGCGATCGACACGTGTCCGTAGCGGACCCACCTGTCAGACAATTGTCTCTCTCTCCCATCTCCCTCACGCGCTATGCTCTCGGTCTCCTCTGCAACCCCCCCTCTCTCTCCTCTCGTCGGCGTCGTCTGCCCGGGCCGACGACGCCGACGCCGCCGTCGAGCAGCGGCAGCGAGTGAAGCGCCGAGTACATTTGATGGCGGCGACGGAGATGGCGCGTCTTGCGCAGCCTCGGACGGACGGCGAGCGCGACCGCGTCCACGAAGCGCTCGTGGAGCTCGAGGACTAGCTCGTGAATCTCCTCTGCAACCCCACGCCCAACCCCCCCTCTCTGTAAAACCTTCGCGCATGCCTGACTTACGACTAGCTCTGCTCTCTAGTCCAACGAGCCACGCCACCGCCTCCGCCTCCGATCCATCTCCGGCGACAACTTCCGAGGTATTCAACCTTCGGGGACTCCGGAATCATGGGACTTGTCGTACACGACGTAGAACCCGTCGTCCTCGCCGACGACACAAGAGTACCAATCGTCGACGCCGAAAGCCGGGGTCGAGCTCGTCTTCGGCTTGAAGACCAACCGCAGCAGCTTCTGGATCGACCGTGAGATTCGGGAGTGCTTCTTCGCCGTCGTCGAGGTCGCCGGTTGCGGCTGCGGCTGCAGAGGAGGAGGGGGGAAGGCGCGGCGGTCAGGGTAGTGAGCATGGATAGGGTGCGGGCGGAGATGGCGGAGCCGAGCTTGAAGGACTTGAGCTTGAAGAACTGTGTCGAGCGAAGAAAGAGAGAGAGAGAGAGAGAGGGGGGGTTGGGCGTGGGGTTGCAGAGGAGATGGAGAGCAGAGCGCGTGAGGGAGATGGGAGAGAGGGACAATTGTCTGACAGATGAGCCCGCTACGGACACGTGTCGATCACTGTATGAATTATTATAAATCCTATGTGATATATTAAATGCACCTAATATTTTCTCGTCCTCAATACCTCTCTGCACCCAGCTTTCCCCTTTAAATAAAAACAAAAAAATAATAATACAAACAACCCCTAAACTTTAATATAATATAATTTATTCAATATAATTCTTAAATTTTAGCTTAATATGTAAGGTGATTCATAAGCTTTTAATTTATTTAATATATATTAAATAAATTAAAAGCTTATGAATCACATTATATAGTAGATCAAAATTTAAGACCGTTCGTTTTATTTTCTTAAAAGAAGAGGAATAGAAAGAAAGAAAAGGTGAAGATAAGCTCGAACTCCGAAGCCTCGCCCCAAAATTCACTTCACTGCTCCTCGCCGAAACGCCGCCGTTTCCCCCCGAATACCAACTCCTTCTCCTCTCACACGCACTCCTAAAATCCCCGACACACCGAACCAAAAACCCACAGCCGTGAAAACCCTCTTTACCTCTTTTTCTTCTTGTTCCTCAGTCTCTCCGTTGAGATTCCGAGGTCGTCATCATCATCATCATCATCATCATCATCACCCACCACCGTTATCCATTGATTCCGCTCGCTCCCCTCGAAGAAGAGAAGGCGAGAATCGGGGATTCGGATACCGATATGGCGGTGTCGGACGCGGTGGTGGGGAACCTGACGACGATCTACGTGGCGGTGATCGCGGCGATCAAGGCGTACGGGCTGTTGTCCGGCCGCAGCTTCGGCGGCGGCCTCATCCTGGTCCTCTCCACGGCGGTGGTGGGCCTCATCCTCGTCGCCACGCTGACGTGGGACGTGTCCCAGAAGGCCGCCCACGCGATCGCCCGGGACGACGACGACGACGACCGCCCCCCCCACGAGGTGTCCTGCAAGGGCGGCATCTGCTGGCACGGCGTCGCCGTCAAGTCCCCGGCCTCCCAGGTCCGGTTCCGCCTCCCCCAGCATCAGCAGCAGCAGCCGCCGCCGCCGCCGCCGCCGCCGCAGCACGGCGCCGCCCCTCTGTGAATACGACGTCGATTTCCGCCCTTCTTTTTGCCCATTTTCTTCCTTTCTTCTTTACTTTTTCTCCCATTTTTTGTGTTTAGTTGAATGAATTTTGGTGACGGGATTGGGATGTGAGGTTACGCTGTCCGCCGTGGTAGGATGCAGAGTCTCTGTCTACAGCTGGTCGGCCATCGTTCGTCGGTCATCCAAGCTTGGGTTTTTCCTTGTCGAAAATCAATATGGGTGTTCTCTCCTTTTCCTCCTTTTCCTTGCAACATATCGAGGGAAAGAACGTGTATACTTTCTTTGTGAGATAAATAAAGAAGGCAAATACGAGTGGAATGTTACGTGGGGTCTGACGCCTGAACGCCACCTACCGTTCGCCCATCGAGATGATTCGTTGGTGTGTTCTTTCCAAGAAAGATGATGGCAATGACGACTTAGTCAAAGCGCTGCATGATGATAAGTATCGTCCCCGAATTCTGAATCGGGGTCCACCCGGAGCGAGCGAGCGAGCGAGCGAGCGCGCGAGCCATCCGCGAGCGATTTGGCAGCAAATTGCTGAAACTCGGCTTGCGCAGGAGCTCTTCCAATGGGGGAGACGACAGTCAACATCGATCCTTCCCATCGATGGCCGAAAGTGGGGACGCCCCCCCATGATGCGTTCGTTCGGGGCATCTTTTGGCGGTCTTTAATTGTCCCCCATTTAAAGTTGCCGGTTCGTTTCTCGGGGGCGCGTGGGGCCCTTTGCCGTTTGCGGTGGGAGGAAAACACCTTTCGTTCATTAATTGGACCGATTCTGATTGGAGCCGAGCGTCGCATTAGTGTCGTCCATTGACTACAGAGCTCGCGACTTGTCGCTGCTAAGTTTGGATCTTTAGATGCTCTTGCTTTGATGCTAAACCCATTTGGGGTGTTTTGAGAGGGGAGAGGGAAGAACATGTGGGGTCTCGAATTTGAAGGGTTGCGATTCAGTCAGTGGTTAGGTAAAGCTGTTATGGCGATTCTTAGCTCTTTTAGAAGGTTAGGGAACAATTAGAATTAGGTCATACGTATCCTATGTTGATTTGACAAGTACTTGTCCAAGGAACGATATACATGTGTGATCATTAATGTAATGCGAATTCGCTTGTGAAAGGACATTTAAGTGATGGTAAGACGAGATGAATTTACATTTAGTCTCCGAAGGTAAGATGTTTATGGAACGAATTCGTTGATTATGTTGAATTACGATTTTTCACGATCTCGTGATACCATGTCAGTATGGTATAATCCGTTTATCAAGACATTTCATAATTGTCTTTTCGGTAAATTTGAGGCGGAGACCCTCGTTGGTTTGCTTTTTATATAGTAAGGACGAGCATCATAAAAAACGCAAATCTTGATTCAACAAATGGCAAGTTAATGATGAGATGACCCTTTCCAAATATGGCACAAACTCTAAATTTGAGTTAACAAGAACATTAGAGCATCGGGTTTGGTGTAGGAATAGATACTCCAGTCACCATCTTTGTGCTTTGTCAAGATGTGGGGAAAAAACGCATTGAACCCTCCTCAAATTTTGCAACTTTACCGCTCTGCATCCTCTATTTTAAGAAACGTATCCTTGAACTATCGGACAAAATCTCATCTTTAAAGAGGCCAAACTACCCTCCTTTGCAATAACTAATCTCTAAAAACCTAACCAAAATTCTAACTCCCAATAATTACCTAACAAGACCACACGCCGTGACCTGCAAATCCAGCTGCCTTCGACCATCTTCCTTCCTCGTCTCTTGTATCTGTCTTCTCGCCTTTGATCGTTGTATCCCTCATTCTCTCCTATGTTATCTTGTGCGCCGTGCGTGACACGACCTCGGATGACGGTGGCGAGGTCGCCGAGGTAGGGACCTCGATCCGAGGTCACGACAGCCATAACGACTGCGAATCCAAGGTCCTCGTGGCCCTCCTCAGCCAATTGATGGCCCCCCGGAAGCCCTAACAAGTTGGGGAGAGACGCAGAACACGGAGTGCGTGGGGCGCACACGGAGGGAGAGAGAGAGAGAGAGAGAGGGGGGCAACACTAGTGCCGGCGACTTAACTATGCGTTTGAAGAATGTGTCCGGTTTTTCTATGTCAACACATAAAAATGTAACCGGCGATTTGGCTAATAAAATCACATGATAATCCGGCGCATAGCGAGATCTTGTGCCTAAACGTGAAAGTGAGGACGTAAAAATGTACTTTTAAATACAGATGTAGCAAAGTGGTATTAAGTGGAAAACTCGGGATGATTTTTTTTTTATAAATTTGCCCAAGATGAATCATAGCACTTTATAAAAATGGTCAAATCGTAATAATAGTCAGTATAATTATCAACATACCTCATAAATATCTCACATTTTAAAATGGAAGCAAATCTCTCCCTTTTAACAATCACGTAAATCTCTTTTGTAAGCTAATCTTTTATTTCTAAGTATTTATCTCTATACACGCAAATTTAAAACTCTCTTTCGCACAGTGTCTTTTAACCGGGGGTACCGAGCCAACAAGTCGGTTAAGAAAACATTGTGCGAAGCACCGGTCGACCCAACATGTGCCAAAACACCACCTCATCACCTCAGGTGCGGGAGACTATTATACTTGCATACCTGGTAATAGCCAACTGAAGCTGACGTGGTGTCTGCCTTCAGCACCTAAGGCCCCCTAATTCCCTCTTTATCTTTGTCTTTCCGAGAGAATGGAAGTACGGGAAGTGATATTGGGAAGTCCCACCCCTTGAGGGTTCTTCCCCGTGTTTCTTCTCTTTTGAGCCTTTTAAGGACATGCTCAGGTCCATCGCACACTCATATGCATGTCCTCTTTTACTAGTGTAAGAGTGAATGAAGTCATAAAATGGAATTAAGATGCTAAAATACAAAATTTTAAAATTTTTTATCTTTATGTCCAGTGAATTGGATGGATGCAAGATTAAAATTGCATGTCCCTAGGTAAGCCTCATATATAAATTTAAAACACCTTTCCTCGTAAACTTAAAATATTTTGACGTGTCATCGCATAATGAGATATACAATTATTTGATATTTCCACCAGTTATACACTCGCTTATTTAGTCCGAAACTCATGTATATTTAGATATTAAATCACGTACTTTTTTTTTCACTTTTAATGCTATATACGTGACCTTTCTATACCAAACGCTAATATATGATCTTTTAAGCATTGAGAAGCTACCTTTTCAGTTTTTGTAAAGTAAAATACTAATTTTTTTAATTTGTTGATTGATTAGAACACTTAAAAAATTATTTGACCCAAAAAAAAACACTTAAAAAAATAAAAATTAATGCGGTTGCAAATACAATGCTTTTGTTTTGTTATTTAATAAACATTTAGAGGTAAATTATTAAAATAAAATCCTTGCGACAGGCCCGAGCACATTTCTTGAGCATGTCAAATAAGGAAAAAGAAAAATCGTTTTTTCTTTTATATAGTGCTTTGATTACGATTATTAAAAACAAAAATTAGCGCATTAAACAATCGAAAATTTCTTTAATCGGTCTGCGCACACCAAATTCCAAACCGAATAAAATAAAATAAATCAATAGCGATCACCGTCCGTTCGCGTGGTTAATCAGACGGTAATCACAATCCCTCAAAATTCAAAATCCTCCGGCGTTCGTTTTTTTCGTGGGCGGTGGGTCCCACCATATCGGTTCTCCACAGCTCACGGCCAGATAAACGAAATCGCCAATCACAGCCGTCCAGTGGCCCCCGGAACCGCAACATCGAGTCCATCCGACGGCGGACGGCGTCGCGTAAATCACCGACGCGGTACCACCTGATAAACTCTCGCCTTTTTTTTTATAAAAAAAATCTCATTAATCAAAACTTCAGCAATCTATCTACCCCTCTCTCTCTCTCTCTCTCTCTCTTCTTCTCTCTCCTCTCGCTCGTCGACGCTACTCATTTCTCAGTAAATCGCCGCCGCGCACGGCGTTCCTCCCGGCGGTCCCGTCGCACCTCGATCGACCGCAAGGCCATGGCGGAGTCTCCATCCCAAGCGCAGGCGCATCCCGTGCCCGACGCCGCCGCGGCGGCGGCGGCCTCGGAGTACTGGTGCTACCAATGCGAGAAGCGCGTCGCCGTCGAAACCCTAGCGGACCTCCACGACGTCGTGTGCGTGGAGTGCAAGAACGGCTTCGTCGAGTCGAGGCCCGCCGCGTCGTCGGCGCAGCCATCGCCGTCCGATCAGCTCGACGATCCCGCCCTCGGCTCGCAGTTCCTCCAGGTCCTGCGGTTGATCGCGCAGGCGGCGCGTGACGAGGACGTGCCCCCGCCGCCGCCCTCGAATCCGCTGTCGGACGACGATTTCCTCCGGATCGAGCTCGATGGATGGGACAACGACGAGGACGAGGATGAAGACGACGACGACGACGATGGGGAAGAGAATGAGGAGAACAGTAACCGCGAGGGAAATGAACGAGGCGAGGGGGGGAGGGAGGGTGATAATCAATCGGATAACGAGAACGGAGGAGAGAGCAGGGATGAATATGATGAGGACGATGCGCGGCGGAGGCGGCGTGACGTGCTCAGGCTCCGGATCCGAGACTTTGCAACCCGAGGTCGGAGCGGGCGTAACCGGATTCTCGATTGGGCGGAGATTTTGATGGGATTGGATGATAGCTCCATCGAGCTGAGGCTCGAAGTTCCTGAATCAGACCGCTACATAGGCAATCCGGAGGATTACGTGGATGACGCTGGGTACCAGGCTTTGCTGCAGAATTTGGCGGAGAGCGACAGTGGAAGAAGAGGAGCTCCACCAGCCGCAAAATCAGCGATTTTGGAGCTTCCAACTGTGGAGATCAGATCAAAGGACGAAACCTTGGTGTGTGCGATCTGTAAGGACATGGTGAGTGTCGGTGAGATGGCGAAGAAATTGCCCTGTGGGCATGGTTACCATGGGGATTGCATCGTGCCATGGTTGGGTGCGAGGAATACGTGTCCGGTTTGTCGGTTTGAGTTGCCGACTGATGATCCTGAGTATGAAGAGGAGAAGAAGAAGAAAATGAATGTGAATGCAGGTGGGAGCTCCGGTTCTGTTGGAGATAATTCGCTGGAATAAGTTTGCTTGATTTATTGTTGAATTTGCTTGTTTGGTGGATTAGAACAACAAATTTGAATGCTTTTTTTTTTTTGCTGCCTTGATAATGAATGTAAATGATGTTTTACCAAGTTGTCTTGTTTGTGTTTATCTGCAATTGGCTTTTGTTATATGATTTAGGATGTGATTACTCCAGCTGAGATAGGATCATAGGATGGTGTCTGTGACTTTGGGAGGATGAAGGACTGAACTACTTCTTGGTCGTATAAGGACTTTGATTGTAGATAGAAATTAGAAGCAGCCGAGGCTGAGATGCCAGAGAAAAAATGAACCTCGATAATGTGTTGTGGTCTAGACCATTGCTTTTGAAAAATATTGTGAGGTGGGTGGGGTTGGGTTTGGGAACTGCCTCGTCATTAACGACTCGTGGGCTCTCAATCGTACTTAGGTGATGTGAATGTTAGTAAGTCTTTTTTTTTAACAGGTTGGATGTAGGATGTTAGTCGGTAGTCACTCTTCGTTGTTCCATTACTTTGCAATCTACTTGTGAAGAGGTTGAACTTGCTTTTTCTTGATAGTTTGCTTCACATCTTTGTGTTGGAATTCACTGTTGTAGCGATTTAGGAGCTTCTAGTGTGCAGAGTAGTCTTCCTTGTATTCACTGAAATGCCTCATTGGTTACGTTCATACTGGAAACTGTTGTGCGATGAAGATTAAGTGCTTCTAGATGCTTTATATGTCAATCATACTTAACGAAGCAGGTTATTAACTAGGTCAGTTGATCGTCAACCTTTGTTTAGATGATGAAAATAGCCCTTTCGACTGATATTCCTGCTTTTGTGAATCATATAGTATACCATGATTGCCATTGATTTCTCAACAATTTTGTGGTTTTTGATATTGCTGAATCTTTCTACGAGGCAAATATATTAAAGTTGGGTTGTTTTGTTTGTGTGATCTAATACAAATCGCTTCTGCACCGCCATTTCCAGAAGAATTACTTATAGTGAGTCCATCTTGATTTTGGCCGTGGTGATAGATCTCACTTTGTGTCGATGAATGCAATTGATGATGAGTTGAGCAGACTAGACCTGCCGTTTGTCATAAGCATTTTTAAGAGGGGTATGACGGTGTAAGCTGAGCGGCTTTTTTTCACCTTTATGGGTGAGTTGCCCTTGCTACCTCCACTCTCATTTTTCTACTCCCTCGTCCCACTGCACATAGGCATTCCTGGGTAGTAGTTGTTTCTTGTTAGTTTGCTATTAGTTCACCTTTTCTGAAGCTTCTTTTTCTTTCCAGCGAATGTCAATTTGTGTCGCCTTTTCAATTTCTAATAGAAGTTGTTCGATTTTCTACTCTCTTGATTTTACCAACTATTGGCATGGAGGAGGATCTTCTATTCATAATGGGTACGGCGTCTTGGTCGGAGCTCGTGAAACATCATGCCGTATAACTTGTAATTTGGTAATACTCTAGGATTTTTATGGCTGACAGAAATTTGATTTGAAAGTAATTGAGTCGAGAAGAGTAATTTTTATTTGGGTGGTGAGTTAGTTCGTTGGTCAGTGATCTGCTACCGAATTTGACTATTGACCTAGCAGATTCTGGATCACCAGAAGACGCAAGTTTACCTCTTGAATGTTTGTTCTTTGGCGTTTACCAGCGGCAAAGTAGATTGAATTTGGAAAAAAGAGATCGGTACGAATATAGTATGGCCGCTGGATTGGGGAGAACTTGGTGGCTTTCTCATACAAGTAAGGGTGCGCATGACAATCATTCTGTGCCCGGGAACTATTTTTACTTAGAAATGATTCTTTTTTATTCTGTGCCCGGAAATAATTTATGAGCATTTGAAGGCGTTTGGTAACTGTCCAAAATTTCTATTCCTGGGATAGAAAAGAACAGAAATACGTTTGGTAACTATACAAAATTTCTTTTTATTAATAATATTTTAAATTGTTTAATATATATATATATATATATATTTTTTTTTTCTTTCTACCCTTCCTTTCTTTGGCCATAGCCGATCGCTGGCGACCAGCCACAGGCCAGGGCGTCGCGGCCCTTGCCGCCGCCCTGGCCGCCTGCCTCACCGCCGGCCTCGCCCAGATCAGGCGAGGCTGAGCCTCACCGTCGATCGCGATGGCGAGGTCGGCTTCGCAGTGGGTCGCGACGGCGAGGCCAACCTCACCGTGGGTCACGACGGCGAGGCTGGGCCTCGCCCGATCTGGGCGAGGCCGACCTCGCCATGATCGACAGCGAGCCGCCTCGCCCAGGCGGCGAGGGTCCAGCCCTCACCCTCGCTGTCCCCCTCGCCTCCGCCGGCGAGGGCCGTGACGCCCTCGTCGGCCCTGGGCTATGGCCGGTCGTCGGCGACTAGCCACAGCCCAGGGAAGAACAACACAAAGAAGAAAAGAAAAAAAAGAAAACGAAGAAAAAGAACTCATTTTCAAAATTGTGCCGAGAAACAAGAAGCAACTTTTTTTTACTTCTTGTTTCTCTTCCAAAACTGTTTCTGGGCACAAATTTTTGCGAAAATGTGCCCGGGAACAAAAAGTTTACCAAACGCATTTCTGTTCTCAAATTATTTCTGGGAACAAAAGAACAGAAATTTTTACTATTTGGCATGTTACCAAACGGGCCCTAACTCTCTGACAATCTTTCGGTCATTCGAGTTAGCTTTCGATGGTTGCTTTTATTTATTTGAGGCCCTTCCCATCAAGGATTGTAGCTGTTCCTTCCACCTAACCGACGGAAGATGCTTTTGATGGAAGAAAGATTGATGTTAACAATGGATGCTTCAGCGGTTTGAAATGCCATTGAGTCGATAAATTCGGATGGCTATTGGCTTAGATGTACATGTATCAAATCCGTACGGCAAAACAACGTTCTTTTTTTTTGTGTTTGATGAGAAAAGGCCAGTGTAGATGTGTAAAATAATGGGTGTTCATGGATCGGAGACGATGCTAGTCAACGCCCCGGTGGGTCAATAACCGGGTCAAGTACTATGTTTACCTAGAGTTTTGTACAAGGTATAAATTAGTGGCAAAGGTGGTATTTTTTTAAGTAGTTGAATGGGAAGATAGCAATGATTTTAATCTTGGATTAAACATGGGTGTTGGCAATTGATGCACAAAAATGGAACATGTATGGTAATCACTAAATCGATTCTTTGTGGTGTTATCTCACAAAATTTTAATCTCAAAGTTACTCTCATAAGTTCAATGTACATATTATTCATCGCGATGCAACTAGTCGGTTAGAGCCCCAATGCGACGGCATACATAGATCGGGAAGGTGGTAATGGATGATGCCGTGATCGGATTGGCCGAATTGGCTTAACTAATTTATAAATCATGCAGGATCGTTTACGTGAAATGCTTTTTCTAAGACTAACTCAGATATCTTTACTTTTTACGGTTTTGCTATATTGCATGACCAGTAGCATGCGCACTTGAACCTTCTTTGTTTGAGCACGTGAAACTTTTCAAAATAATAAATGTAGACACGTAGATTTACAAAGAGTAAAATTTTGCTTTTCTAGAAGTCAAATGTTAGCAGAGCTTGAGCTCAGCTTTATTATGCAGTCGAAGCAGCTTGTACATGAATACGAGGTCTGAAAGTGGCGACGGCATTTGACCCTTGAATCACGATACGATGGATGAGAAGCGAATTGGGTTTTGAAGATAATTCAAGAGTAAGTTCTTGGTTATTGTTCCATACTTTCTGAAAGACTAACACGCAAAGGAATAAGTCCCATATATCTTTGCAACCGAGTTTACATCGAGGTCCATAACCTCTCTGGACAAGCAACAGCCCTCCGTCATATTCAACAGCAAACGAGAAGCGAGAAATAAACGGAGTTAATTTACCTTCCCATGACAACCAATTTTCAGCATTACACCTTGTGAACTCCAAAGCAAGTTAGCTCTGCACATTCTTCTCTCCAAGGAAAACACAAAGGTGACAGAAAAATTTGCTCCTACAAATATTCTTCGACAGACATGGGACTGGGAGAGATACAACAGCTATCTAACCAAACCTCCAGCGGCTGCTGAAGAGGCCTTCTATAAGACACTAATAAAGTGAGAATATAAAGAAAACCCCAAAATTTAGGCTATTAAACTAAAATTCCCCTCCCCCACCTAATAAAAATTAATCTCTTAAGAATCGGATTTCCTTTGCTATCTCCAGATTTTATTCAGTTTCAAACCCACTTCCCATGAAAGCCAATTTGTTCCCCCTATGCTCGTGATCTTCAGAGAGGAAGCACTCCCCGATCTGTTTGGTTGGACATTTGGACTGACCCAAAAAGCTTGATGGGACTGACATTTATTTCCACGGTGGTTGCTGCTGCCGAAAGCCAATCGAGTAAGGTTCCCGTCCGCCCTCCGGTTCCTTCCTCTTGCCACCCAGCCCAGAACTTGAAGACGGTTGCAAGCTAACCCTCAGATGTTCTTCCATTGATCTACCCTGATCTGGCACTAAAAACTGTCTCAAAACAGCCGGCTCACCGTTAACTCCATCAATTGAGAATCCAGAATTCAGATCAAATTGTGCCCGAGAAGGGCCAGGACCATTGAGACCGAGGGGCGCAGAGGTCATGTTCATCATGAACGGCGCCTGAGGGAAAGAGGAGAGAACAGGTGAAACAGATCCGATGGCTTGAGGCACAAATGGGGTCACACGTGAGTCCATCATGTAAGGCATTGAGACCCCGGGTCGATACATGGTGGAAGAGAGAGAAACAGCAGGCCCTGTGTTTAGTCCATTGTATGCCCACGCATGTGGATAAGAGAACGTGGGACCCACCCCAAAAAAGCCTCCTGCTCTTGCCACGCCGGCATCTGCTGCAGACTCGAGAGCCTTGCCATTTAGTAGGGACAAACTCCGAGGTACATGATCTTTCTTGTCAACCTCAACTTTTGCACCGAATATAGAAATAACAGGTTCTGATTTAGGCTTCCCATAACTGGCCACATTTTGGGAAGATCTGCCACTGTAGGGGCCTTGGTCAGAAAAATCATTCTGAAACAGTGGCCTGTCATTCAAATCAAAGTTCCTCATGGTTGATGAAGATGATGCAGGAGACGGGCTGCGTTGGCCATTTCTAAGGTTAAGCAGCTGACGCTCCACCCTAATATCCGAAA